CCCTTTCTCGCTTTGTCCCTTCCCGGTGATCAACGAAGTTGGACGTCCGGTGGACCCTCCCCCTCGGTGGCGTCGAACTCATCATTGAGGTCGAGGTTAACACCAATGTCCGACTTGGACATTCTCAGCCTTTTGTTGGAACCGGTGGTAGATCCCGAATGCGCAGTTTCCGGATAAAGGACCCATTTTGGACCATTGCGACAAACTTCCCATGCTTTTTGGTTGGCAAATGGTTTACCATTGTTGGTAATTTTGTATTGGTACAACGCGGTTGATAAAATGTTGAAATCGTTGCTACCACTTCTATGCATTTTTTTAAGATTGTCAAATACGTCGTTAAATTTGGTGCAAGTCGCTCGAAGGTCACGCCATTTTGCATTGACCGAGTCGTATGTCTGACTCGTTTGTCTTCCTAATAACACGTGAAAGTGGCCTAAAACACAATTCCAAAAGCTTTGACCTGATTGCGCGTTACCGACATCCCCGTCTTGTGATATGAAAATCCAAACTTTAGCTAAAGTTTCCTCCTCCTCCTCGATCCATTGTGTACTTTTCTTTTTCCTTGGATCTTTTGATTTTTTTTGTCTTCTACGACTTGGTTGTGTTTCTTCAACCCGTTCATCGTCTTCGTTGTCATTGTTGAAGTTTACGGGTTGAGATTGAGATAATGGAACTTGAGATGGTTGTGAAGTTTGTTGACGTTGGGAAATTTGGGGTTGAAATTACGGAGAAGGTTGTTGTTGAAAGGCTTGAAATTGGGGTTGAAATTGTGATGGTTGTTGTTGTTGTTGGTAGTAATGTGGGTGGTATGAAAGATTGGTGAATAGAGGTTGTTGTTGAATGAGGATGATAACAATTGCATCTAGCGAAGATTCGCTAACGGATCATTTGAAGTGTTTGGGGTGTTCGGGATGGATGAGGTATTTTGGTTTGGATCCATGGATGAGGTGTTTGTGTTGAAAATATGTTGTGTGTTTGAAATGAAAAAAAAAAGATTGATATATATATATATATATATATATATATATATATATATATATATATATATATATATATATATATATAGAGAGAGAGAGAGAGAGAAGGTGTTTTTTTTAATGCGCAAACGGTCACAACAACAGTCAAATTAGGAATAACCAATCAAATCAAGCGTCCTCTCTCGTAAACGGTCGAATTAGGAATAACCAATTAAATCAAGCATCCTCTCTCGTCTCCGTGAAGATGCCACACGCAACCCACCAGAGTTGGGGGCAGTGTTCACGCGTCTTGGGGACTGACACATCAGCCTCCACGCGTCTTCCACCAACCCACTCCGGGTAGCCTAAGGGGAGTGGTAACACTCTTAACACATTGTCACGTTAGATTTTTGAGTGACCTTATTTTTGGCCATTTAGCACCTAATCTTAGCATTTGGCAGGGAGTGGTAATATTCCTAGCACTCCATTTTTTTCTTTTTCTAATTTAATTAAATTACTTTATTTTAATATACAAACATTTTTTGTGCACAAATATTAAACAAAGTTTATTTTTTTGATTACTTTTTTATTTTGTTAAAAAAATATGAAGTACATGTCATACTATATTATAAAGGAAACATTTTTTCTATCACCACATTCATTTGAAACTCTCATGCATTTTTTTCTTTCACCACATTCATTTGAAACTCCCATGACTTTTCAATTTCTTTCTAATAATGATTATAAGTTGGTTAATAAGATTAAATACATATCAAACTTAAAGTGTAATCATATATAAACTAAATTTCAATATTAAAAGAATATCTTTACTTCTACTTATAAAGTTATGTTTTTTTTTTTAACTTTTTACATATTATACTTAATTTATTAGTTTTAATATATTATTGGATGTAAACTATTATCATTTTAAAGCTACAACTTTTGAACAATTTGTATAAAATATTTAAATCATAAACTTAAATATAACATTACAAGACCAACTTAAATATAAATCTTAGTTTAACTTAAACAACCCAAATTATATTTTGTAAATAGTTAAAAGTGATAAATTGTAGTGTCTTTATAATAATGATTATAATTTGGTTATTAAGGTTAAATAAATATCAAACCTAAAGTGTAATCATAAATAAACTAAATTTGAATACTAAAATAATATAATTACTTCTACTTATAAATTTATGTCTTTAACTTTTAACTTATTATACTTAATTTATTAGATTTAATATGTTGTTGTATCTAAACCATTATCAATTTAAAGCTACAACTTTTGAACAGTTTGGACAAAATACTTAAACTGTTAATTTAAATATAACATTACAGTGTCAACTTAAATATAAATTTCAGTTCCACTTAAAAAACCAAATGAATATTTTGTGAATAGTTAAAATTGATAAATTGTAGTGCTAAATGCAAAAACAAAATTATAATATCAATTTAACTAAAATATTTCCTAAAGATATTTGTATAACCGTTAAATGTTTTCTAATAAGCAGCTTAAAATAACTTACAATAACAATAGTTAAAAATAACTCTATATAAATGATTATATTGTTACCTTTAAAATCAAAAAACAATGTCTGATGTTTTAAATAATTATAATTATAGAAATTAAACGTAAAAAAATAAATTTTAAAAAATTAATTAACAATAACAAAAACTATAAATAACATTGAGCTATATATTATATTTAATTTTATTCATCAGTAACTCGCGGGTAGAAGCCATTCAAACGGTTGAGATTATACAGTTATAATAGATGTATATATTATCATATAATTCAAAATAATCAATATATTATATCAATTTAGTATACGAATTATTATATCAAATTTAACAACAACGTTATTGTTATATTTAAAAAAACATATTTTTGTAAAGATTTCAACTATATAGGTTCATGCGCAACGCGCGGGCATACGCCTAGTTATGGATATAATTACCCACCTGCATTAATGATAATGATGGATAATGTTAAAGAATATGTTACATATTATTTCCAATAAGCAAAACTTGATGAGAAAAGAACACACAATAATTATTTAGAAGTACTTGGACATATCTAGACCTAATAACATCTGTATGACTTTCTCCAGTAAGAATCCAACATGAAAGCTCTACCTTTCTCCAGTAAGAATCCAACATGGAAGAACTTGACACCTTTCTAGCAATGGCATAAAATCGATTCTTCAAGGCATGCTCAGCAAACGTAAACCATTCACCATATGAAACATGTAGCTGATGATCTATAGAAGACTTCAGTTCTCGTAGAGTCAGTGCCTCATATCTCAGAGACAAACAACTCTGTAGATAATCAAACTGACACATATATTAAGCAGAAATACATAACAAAATCAATAGCTGCCATGTGTATATATTCAATGTATAGACTGCAAGTATATGCACTCTGCAGTATGAATGCCAATGGAAAATCAAATTGGTCCAGACCGAATCTCATTGAACATACAAATTGATCTTGTAGTAGTTCATATGTTGATCTTTATAAACTAACTATCTAACAAACCAAATGCAAAAGAAGTCATTAAAAAAGCAATTCAGTTATGTTTTCTTTGAACATAATCTGTATAAGTGCAACCTGTTTAATAATGCCAATGAAATATCATGATGCCTAAGATATGATGCTTCAACCCAGTGATCAGTTACTCGTTGTTCCAACTTCCAGATCATTATTTTTCTTCATCTAGTCAAATCTTAGTACCATACATTAAATGCCAATTTAATCCACCAACAATTTAAGATCTTCAACGAATGCCAATTTTGCGATTTCCATCAAATTAGTTATTAGTCATATCTTGTGAAAATCCAATGTGATCACATAGTTACATACAAACAGGCAGACATCATTACAATATACTAATACCCTCCTTGCAAAACCCTATCTACCAAATTGCACCAACGCGCACAAATGAATTGAAGAAAATCTACGAAAAACGTATGAAATCAACAAAAGGAAACGATATTTAAAGGACTTGCCTCTAGATCGCCGGTAAATGCAAAAGCGTGAACGAAAAATTCTATTATCAGAAGCTTGTGATCAAAACCGACTCTGCTGATCAAAACCGACTCCATAATGCGTAGAGTTCCGTCATCAAATCTAGCCAACTCAATGGATTTTGATAGGAAATTGTTTGGTTATGTAATTAAAAAAATGTTATTCCGAGCAATTTCAAGGGTTTATAGAGGGAAATCGAGTGAAATTACCTTCTGGTTTGTATCAGGGAGTGAAAGAGAGAAATTTGTTGGGAGACGACTTCACGGTCACACATTTTAACGATGAATTTGGTGGATGTTTCTGACTGGTTTATTTATACTATTACAATCTCGCAAACCCTCGCACAACAAAAAAACCCTAGTTCAAAATTGACACCATCAAAATCCTAAAACCTTAAAGAAATTACAACTTAAGTTCATCGATCTGGGGAAGTATGAATAGATTCTTGTTGAGCTCGTTAAGTTCATCCGTCTCCACCAATCAGCTTCCACCCTCATCTTCTCTCTCTTCTCACCAAAATGGTAACGGGGATCGGATAACGATCCCCTTAGCGAGCGCTAGGGGGCGGTGTTCATGGCTCGCTAACGAGCGTAGCGAGTGGGCTTAACATCCCCACTCCGCTTAGTCTAATGCAAATTGCAAAAGATGTAACTTGAGTTTTAGAAAGTAGGATTGACATAGAAGCACAAATAATGTTTTTCATTTGGTTTTAAAAGGTCCTTCAACTAATTTTCGTACCTCTGGCCCCACTAAAGTGACAAATTACTTGTCATTTATACCATGAGAGTCGGTCACCCGATAATTAAATGTGAGGTGGCCTTAGACTTTCGATTTCTTCAATTAAATGACATATCATCAATGACACGTCAACTTTGCCTTCGTATAACTGTTCAAAAAAGGGATTTACTCCAGTCGTTAATCAAAGTCGTGTTGAAGTGTTCAAGATTCTAGGGCTTTTCTCTCTCAGTTCAGTAAGTTTTCTCTCATCTAGGGTTCTTTTGTAGTTAAAGTTCATGGCGAACCCAGACCCTATTTTCTTGAAAATGCATTTGCACTATAACGGTGTTTTTACAAGACACCCACGTAGATATACTGGAGGTGATACGTTCATGTTTACTGATCATGATTTCTCTAGAATGGATTTACATGGGTGTTGTGAATTTCTAGAAAGGTTTGTCGGAGAACCTTTGGAGAAACTTTATTACTCAGCACGTGATCAAACTATGGCAAATGGTCTTACGGTAATAGCCAACGAAATGGATTATCAACTGTTTATCGATGTTGCTTATCAAGCACCTGAAAAGCCAATAGACATGTATTTGGATCATATTGGGGAAGGATTTGAGGACTGGTTCGACGAAGAAAGTGATGAAAGTGGTTCAGTGATCCAGGGGGATAACAAAGAACCTTCACAAGGAATCCACAATCCTGAACCAGCCTATATGTTTGATGTTGGTTTGGAAGATGAAATCAATGGGGAATATTGTACCCCTCTAAACAAGACTAAGGACGATGAGTTTCTTAACAAGTTATGCCCAGAAGGTGGAGAAGAGAAAATGTTTGAAGAAATGGATAATAGTGAGGAATTGGACAATGATGTACTTGAGGAACATCATATCTTTAATCCTCAGGTACACTGAAAGAAGCAAGTACCAACTTTAGGCATGAGATTTGAGAATCCAAAACAGCTTAAGAGCATGTTATGTAATTATGCTATTAAGAATGGCTATCAACTATGGTTCGAAAAGAATGACAGTAAGACGCTTCTAGTATTGTGTTGTAAATGTGCTTGTACTTTCAGGCTATGGGCAAGTTGGATGAGTACAGAACACAGTTTTCAAATCAAGTATTTAAAAAGTGAGATCAATGTGCTAGGAACTACAAACTGGGTTCAATTGTCAATTACCGATGGATTGGTAGCCACTTCACCAAAAGATTTTGCATAGACAGAAACTGACAATTAGGCAACTTCGATTGGAGGTCATCAAGAAATTTGGTATTGAAGTCAGTATTAGCCAATGCAGAAGGGACAAACATTATGCTATCAATATTATTAAAGGTACCCTTATTGAGCATTATGCTAAGCTCTGGTCTTATGGAGATGAAATTAGAAGATCCAACCCTGGTTCAACAGTCATCATGGACGTACTTACGATGCCAGATGGAACTAATCAATTTAGTAAGTATTATGTTTGTTTTGATGGTGTAAAGAAGGGGTGGTTAGAAGGGTGCAGGAAGGTGATTGGAATTGATGGTTGCTTCTTAAAAGGGTATGTTACTGGTGAGTTGCTTTGTGCTGTGGGGAGAGATGCTAGGGACCAAATATACCCAATTGCCTGGGCAGTGGTATGTGTTGAAAACAAGGAAAACTGGAAATGGTTTATGTTATTGTTAATTTATGATCTCAATCTTGGTATGGGACAAGGTTTAACTCTTATGTCAGATCAACACAAGGTAAGAAAAACATTTTATTATTTCTCTTTCACAAAGTATATTACCCAATTCATTTCTAACTACTTGTATGTTGGTATAGGGTCTTATGGAAGCTGTCAAGGAATTGTTACCACAAGTTGAGCATAGGCAATGTGCAAGGCATATTGTGGCCAACTTCAATAAAAAGTTTCCATGGGCACAGTTTGTTAATTTGTTTTGGTCTGCATGTAATGCAACAACAGAACAATCTTTCGAAGAAATAATGAAGGATGTTGAGCTTATGAGTCCAGAGGCAAGTAACTCCTTGATAGAGAAGGACCCTAGAACATGGTCAAGAGCTTACTATCAAGTTGGTAAATGTTGTTCTAGTGTGGAGAATAGATGATGTGAAAGTTTCAATACAGTCATAGTAGAAGCCCGGAAGAAACCTATCATCACAATGCTTGAAGAATTGAGAATGTATATGATGAACAAGTCGTTCACATAAAAACTTAATGGATGGTCAAGTGATGTTTCACCTGAAATAAGGTTGAGGTTGAATAAGTTAAAGGTTAATCAAAGGTTTTGGTAGGTATTTCCAAGTGGACTCAACCAGTTTGAGACTAGGTCAGGAAATGAGGCATATGATGTTGATTTAGACACGAGGACATGTTCATGTAGGATGTGGCAACTTAATGGTTATGGGTGTGTTCATTCTATGGCTGCCATTAGCTACCTCAATAGAGATGTGGAGAAATACATAGATCCTTATTTTTGTAGAGAAATGTATATGAAGACCTACCAGTACAAAATTTTCCCAATGAATGGAAGCAAGATGTGGCTTGAAACTAATTACATTCCACATTTACCCCCCCCCCCCCCCCCCCCCAAGAATAGAAGGATGCTTGGTAGGCCAAAAACTAAAAGAGTTAGAGATGTGAGTGAAAAGGGTGGAAACCATAGAGTTTCTAAGAAGGGTGAGAAGATATCATGTAGTTTGTGCAAAGTGGAAGGACATAATAATAAGACATGTCCAAATGTTGATAGGTCAAGACCAAACAAGTTACCAACTAGGGTTAACATGAGTAAGACTACAAAGGTAATTACCACTTCCCATTTCTTATTTTTTATTTGTTATTAAGTATGTTTCATTTAAGTTTTTATTATGTGTGTATAATAGGGTGAAAATGTGAAGAAAATGACTGCAGAAGTGGCAAGTGGAAGTAGGACGGGAATGGAAGGTGGGGATACACATGGTAGTAGGGTTAAGAGGATTAAGACAACAAAGGCAAATAGAAATTCTTATTTTTTTTTATTTTTTATTAAGTATGTATCATTTAAGTGTTTATTATGTGTGTATAATAGGGTGAAAATGTGAAGAAAAGGATTGCAGAAGTGGCAAGTGGAAGTAGGACAAGAATGGAAGGTGGGGATACACAAGGTACTAGGGAGAGTGGGACTACACATGTGACAAGGGAGAGGGGTAATGTTGTAATTCCCCAGGTTAAGAGGAGGAAAAAGAGTGAAGGGATCATCAAGAAAAAATTGTCAACCCAAGTTACAGGAAAGAATGGAGAGGGGAACACTTCAGAAAAACCTGTCAACTTAATGTAGTTTTTGCATGGGAACTACATGAGATGTGTCCCTTATTATGTATTAAAATATTATGTAGTAAAAGCATGTTAGGATGTTTTCTTTTAAATTTCTATGTCGGAATTGTTATGTAATGTTTTGCACTCACTTTGGTTGTTAATATATTCTCTTGTGGGATCCATTGTCCTTTGTGTCCTTTTTATGCATTAGATGGATCCCTTCTTTCTTGTCCCTCCTGGAATTGTTATGTGGACCATGCTACTTAAAAAATTGTTTGTGGACCATATAACAACTCATGCATGATATTATATAAGGGTAGTGGACCATATAACTTGCATTCTTTGGGGACCATATAACAATTCATGCAGTATACTATCAAGGAACCCATAAAGAAATGTTAAAATAGAACAGAATCCATGCTTTCTATTATATAATTAATCCATACAAAAGGTGTTACATGACCATACGTAATGGGCTAAAGTACATTGCCTATACTAAATTGTCAAAATGATCACCATTCCATATACCACCATTACACTATCAAACAAACCTATACACCCTGCATCATTCCAAATACCTAATCAACCAAAAGACCATCCCAAAAGACCATCCCCATATACACCATGAGCCAAAAACCACCTATACACCATGACCCAACATCCTACATCACCTAGACCAGCGAAAAGTGCATGACCACAAACAACAAGCAGACCAGAGCAATCAAAACAACATTTTTCAACATCTTCTTCAGACTTTCAATCTCAATGAGTAGTTCTTGGATCCTAGCTTCAACAAGTTCCTTCTCAGCTTTCCTAAGAAGCTTGTGCTTCTCCACCTTCTTTTGCAGCTCAACAACTTGACCATTCCTAACCAAAAGGTCGTCGATCCTAAGTTTCATGTTCCATATCGTATCCTTGTAGTGTTTTGGTAATGTTGGGTCAAGCCACTAGAAGAAGTTGCAACTGTCGTTGGATATCTACAAAAGAAAGCCACACAATAGAAAAAGGGTTTTACTGTTCAAAATTTAGGGTTTTCTCGTTGTAAATGGGGTTTTTTGTCGATCAAAATAGGGGGTTTGCAGTACAAAAATCAAAACTTTAGGTTTAAAAGTTATACCTTACCATTGATTTTGCGCAATTGTAGAAGAAACGAGTTGGGTTGTTAGACTTCCAAGCTTCTCTGAGCTTCAACACAGGCTGATCGCGACACAAGCAGGGAGAATTCACTTCAATCCGGTAAATGGCGACAGTGTTATAGGATTCGGAGGAGGAAGACATGGTCGAAAGGGTTGGTGTTCGTCGGAGGGTAAGGAAATAGTGATTGTGGATCTATTGAACCCTTACGAAGCTTTTGTAGTAAGCTGACTGGACACCAGCTGGATACCATAGACCACGTCACATTTGACTTTCGTTGACCAACCGGGTAACCGGTAATAAAATGAAGAAAACCTTATTTTGGCAGGTAATTTGTCACTTTAGTGGGTTCAGAGGTACGAAAATTAGGTGAAGGACATTTTAAAACCAAATGAAAAGCATCATTGTGCTTCTATGTCAATAACCCTAGAAAGTATTAGTCAAACGTCTTATACTTCCATACTAAAATTTCACTATTTTTGCTTGACATAACATTTAATATAGGTGTTTACTAGCAGTTAAAGTTTTTACCAGAAAAATTTACACTTACGAACAAATTGTGTATAGTAAAAAATATAACCAATATATTATAATAACTGTTAATTCGTAAATATACAAATATATGCTGAAATATTACTAAAAGTATTTTTTTTTACAAAATTTATTAGTAATTGAGAACTTTGTGGTTTGTCAATCAACCATAAAAAAGCAAAAAAGAGATTATATAACCTTAATCGAAAAAAAAAATTATTTGAAAAACTCAAAAAAATTATGATTTTATTAAAAAAGTTAATGACTTCAGAGGGCGTTACTATAAACCAGTATTGTAAGAATCCCGACTACGTCCCGATTAGTCCGTAGACGCTACCTGACCGATTAAAAGGCGTCTAACGATTAATCTTTGCCTACAAAAATGAGCGAAACAGTAGCAAATGATGAAATTTTAACACTTTGAATAAATTATATCTCAATAAAAACTATTTGAGGAATGTTAAGTGTTGTATTAATCATGTTAACCTATTTTGTTATGATATTAGTCGTATTTACGAACTTTGTAATGATATTAGCAATATTTAATTTTTTAAAAATTCATCGAATTAGCATTTTAGGATCCCACACTTAGTCCACCGATTAATCCCCACCTAACCGATTAATCCTTTAACCATAGTCCAACCGACTAACTTACGTCGAACGTTTTTTTAAAACATTGTTATAAACTACCATGTATACATATTTAGTCATAAAACATTTTTTTGCATATTGTTTACCATTACATGTTTTTCAGTTGTTCAAAAACTATTATTATGATCCGGTATTATAGGTTATACTAGTTACTTTGCTTATTTGAAAAAAATTAATCAAATGTAATTTACGTAGATTTTACATGGATACCGCTAGGTAGTAATGTATTATGCCTTGTGTATATATTTATTCATTAAACTTTTTTTATATAATTTATCATTAAACTCTCATCAGTTGTTCAAAAACTATCATTCTAACCGGGCGATGTAGGCAATTAGTGATTTGGCATCTATAATTCTATATGGTAGAGATGAATATAATACATTATTGTGAACCTATATTCAGTTTCTAAGCCATCTAACTCAAATAAGAATAATGTTCCAATGTTAGTCTTCTTCATCGTTCTCCAACTTCAATACAAAGGGGCAAACCGAAGTTCCAATCAATTCTTGACAACCCTCTCTAATAAGAACATCTTGGACTGAAGATAACATTTAAAGAAGGTTTAGGGTATGTCCTAACTCCATGTTAAGTGGTTTTACATTCAATTTTGGCTTATCCTCTTGAATCAGACCTCCCATTGTAACCATTTTTCTTTGTTTTGATGAACCTTTTTTTGTGTGGAAAGGGTTACCTACAAATATAAAACGACTTGCACACAAATGAGTTGATCCATGACCTATAAATAACATATAAATGAGTGATATATCATTTGGATAAGAGATCCATGTTAGGTAAGTGGGTGACGCAAGACAAAATCTCAGGGGTTGTACGACGGAAAATTACCTTACGCCAGAAAAAATTTCAAAAAATTTACACTATGCTGCAAAATTTGAGAGGTTGTACCGGCCACCTCGGGAACCCATTAAATCCTCCCCTGGTTAGATAGCCTACACACCGAATGTTAGTCCACAATTACGTATTTGATTCATCTCAACCTAGTAGATGTCCAATCATCATTATCCATAATATACGGTCATAATGGTAGCTTGAACGATTGAAGAGAGTTTAACATTAAAGCGTATATAAAAAATAGTTTATTGATTAAATAGTTACACGAGGCATGGTATATTGCTATCTCATGTCAGTAACTCCATCAATGTAATACCCATGTAATCAACATTTACTCATTTTGTTTTTCAAATAAATAAGGTAACCAACATAACATACAATATCCGGTAATAATATGGTTTTTGAATAATTGAAAGGAATTTATTAATAAAGTGTGTACACGAAAAAATTTAATGATTAAAGGTGAATATTGAGCATGATACATTACTCTATTAAGTCATACCATTTGCAAAATTAAGAAAAAATCCACTGTCGTAAGCTCCTAAATACGCCGAGGTGCCTCCTCAAGGTTTATGCTTAATTTTCAATTTGAATACAAAAAGAAAAAAAAAAAGGTTTTTTTGAAGTACATTGGTGATGTAACGTTTGGACCATGGAAAATAATTTGGTTTTTGAATCAAACGTTAAATGTTAAATATTCAATGATTGCTGTCAAAGTTTGACGGATTGCCTCTCTTTTCTTGGTTGGGTAATAGCTTAAGTAATCTATAGAAATAGAAATTCAGCTACCTCATATTCAAAAACGTAAATGGATATTCTAGCAATATAATTTGTAAATAGTTCACCACGTCTTTTGCCATAAAGTTATTATTAAATGTTCTTTACAGTTTTTAGACATCGATTGGACAGACTTGCAAGTTATTATGTCACACTTGGTATGAAAACAATAACTCAATATATTTTAATAACAATTCATGTACACATCGAAGATTATCTGGTCCAAATGTATGGAATTGGTATTAACAGGTTTTAGAATTTTGCATTTGGTTTCAAAACCTTCGCTAAATTATTAAAACTAGTAGGTTACTATCCCCGCTTCGTGAGGGACTAAACTTGCGTAACGCCAAAAGTGTAAGGAGCAAACCTACATATATACAATAGTCATGTGGCGAAAGTGTTAAGGAAAAAAAGTGCAGTGACAAAACATTATAATATATCGCGGGAGCATGGGGTGTAAATTTTCTATTAGGCGGAGACTATTTTTGTAAGTTTTTATAAATATATGGACAATTTCTGTAAAATAAATACACAATAACATTTTCTGTAAATTATGGGACAGTTTTTGTTATTTATTTTTTTAAACAGAGTCCAAACCTGCCAACATACAAAAATCTTAAACAATAGATTGTTTTTGCAAAAAAAAAAAAAATTCATTGAGACCTTTTCTATAAATTATAAAATTTCAAGGACAAAATTTGTCAAAATCCAAAACAATTGTGCGATGATAATTAAATTAATGAAAAAAAAAGGCTTAGCGGCGCAGCTTGTTGCCCGTTTGTCATCTCACTCGTTGTACGATGATAACTAAATTAATAAAAAAATTTGTGGAAAAACTCCAAAATTAAAAAACTTTTGGTGGCAAAACTCATAAAATGGGGAAAATGGGGAAAATGCTCAATATTAAATAGTTGACGGATAGGTGTCACTCAGCCTTACCATGTACTCTTGCCCCCTAGCACCTTGTTAGGCGGGGTCTTTTTATAATAAATATTTGCCGGTTCAAAAAAAAATGTCACTCAGCCAAAGGTTGAGACCACAAGTCTTATTGTGGACAAAAAATGTAAATTTAGGAGCAGTGTAGTGTGTACGTGTGTTTCTCTCTCTGTGTGTGTGTGTATATATATATATATATATATATATATATATATATATATATATATATATATATATATTTATCTTTACTATATTGGATATTTCTTGAAATTTAAGAGGTACAATTTCTATTAAACCATGTACAATCCTATTATGCTTGTAAATGAATCCATATAATTATCGCTTGTTTTACGGATATAACCCCCAAATAATTAAAAATGCTCTCTAAACTCGCATTTGAAAACATCCCCAAGTTACGGAACAAATATTTCAAACCCTCTGCAAAACCCTAGGTCATTGCACTTATGCAAAATTTGGCTGCTTCTCCCCCACCACCATCTAGCACACACGCCACCGTCATCACTCTCACTGTTGTCGAACACCAACATAGCCACCGTCAATCGTCGTCTTCTTCTCTACAAACCCTAAGCCGCCACAACCATGGCCTTTCTTAACAAATGCAACCGTTTGAAGCAAACGTTCACACAACTATAGAACACTGCCAATAAAACTTGTATTGTGGCTTTATTCAGATTCGCTATCAGTGGTTGTTGGTCATCATCTCCGGTCACCACTTGCAACCGCTTCATTCTTTTCTTCTTCTCTCATTCTCTTTGAAACCAAGCATGTTTCTTCCTTTATTTCGTCATCTATTTTGTCATTTAAACCATTTTCCTTATCAATTTTGCCCTAAAATCTTTCATTGCAGGTACATTTCACTACCAAATCCATTTACCAGTATACTTACAGTCATGTTCTGCAATTCTTTGATCCCCAGTCACGACAATCTATACCCTGGGAATGATTCTCTCTCCAATGCAATCGAATCATTCAAAAACACCTCTTAGTCATTGTTTTTGGTCGAAGAGGAAACATGAAAGGAAGGTTATTATTTCCTCTGCCTAAACTAATTCATATTTGTTTTGATTAAAACATCTAAATTCAAGGTTTTTGTTTTTGATTCCTTAGTTTTTGAAACTAAAAGGGCTATAGGTTACTTCAAGCAAGAACATGAATAGATGATTATGTAAGTTCTTATATCAACTTGAAAAATGTCATGTTTATGATGTGGATATATAAAGTGAAACCATGAGTTCCTTGTTTGAATAACCATGAAATCATTTCTTATCTTTTTAAATTTAATGGAGGGATATATGTACCAAACTAGGAGACACACATGTACTTTCTTTTTTTTTTTTTTTTATAAATTTACCAAACGAGGGCATACAATAGAATGT